CCAAATGTAATTAAAGCCTATATTTTGAAGAATGCATTTTACTTCTTTTAATAGTGGGAAATGGTAATCTGGATTTGCAATGGACATTTGAAACATAAGTTTATATACTATACTAGAAAGGCTAGTTTGTGATGATGTTAGCTTGCACCAATATGAAATCATTCTTATCTTAATGAAAATGCTGAGAGGATACCTCCCTAGTTCACCATATACCATGTAATCGGGTGTTGACTGTTTTAACTTGAGAATATATTTACAAAATTTAAGATGTACACGTTCAATGACAACAGCATTTTCAAAACCCCACAACTCAGATCCATATAACAATACTGGCTGAACAAGTTGATCAAATAATTTCAGTTGACAGTCAATAGGAATTTCTAATATTCTAATTTTACGAAATACAGCGTACATTGCTCTAGATGCCTGATCTGTCAGTCTCTTTAGTGCCTTACAGAATCTACCAGTGTTTGTAAATAAAATACCAAGGTAAACATATTCTTTAACAACATGAAGAAACGAGCCATTTAGCATAAACTTGAAGACTCTATTTGTGGAGCGCTTGGCAAAAATAACAACTTTCGTTTTGTCAACATTGACTTTAAGTTTCCAGATAGTACAATATTCTTCAAATATAGTGAGACACTTTCTTAAATCTTCTGGGCTTTCGGCCATTAAAACAGTATCGTCGGCATACAAAATGAGAAAAAGTTTTATGTACAGTTCAAGTGAATCTATGAAAAGGTTATTTACATTATGCAGTCCTTCAAAGTCATTTTCAGATAAAAATTGTTCAAGGTCATTAAGGTACAAAGCAAACAGGAAAGGTGACAAATTTTCACCTTGTCTTACACCAATTTGACATGGGAAGAAACCTGACACCTTGTTATTATGTGTAACACAAGATTTGATATTTTGATACATATTATATATGACATTAAAACATTTTCCTTTGATATTAGACTTTATCATTTTTGTCCACAGACCACACCTCCATACTGTATCGAAAGCTTTGCTAAAATCGACGAAAACACAATACAACTTCTTATTAAGGTTTCTATAGATATCAATGAGAGCTTTAAGAATAAACATATTGTCAATTGTTGAGTATTTTTTTCTAAATCCTGCTTGCGCTTCGCTTATCAGCAAACCCACAATCACAGGTTTCTGGCGTGCCTAAGGGACGCAACTCTGCACAGCGAATTGCGGCGCCTTAGACGACTGGGTCACACATGCCCCCGAAAGCCACCGGAATGCGATCAGGTAGCAGGTACCAGGCACCTTCCCAAAGACTGGCCTTGATTTAGACAACCCGATTTAGTATATTGGTTTTTTTCACCTCTCTTTCTTACACTTTATTACCAAGTGTATGATGAATACATCGTTTGACCATTAGCAGAAACTAAACGGTCCGAATCTGTGGGTAATGCTTGTTCCAGTTCTAGATTAGTGAGCTAGCAGTCCCCATGGCTGTTGGGAGTATGTAATGTGTTTCAGGTTGTAAGCTACTTTGGGAGGTGGAGGGAGCGAGAGGGATTCCAGATGGGTGAACCTTCGCCCGGGACTGAGTTTTGGACAAACACAAGATGGCGGGCGAGCTTCTCCCCCGTCTGGATGTCATCAGGCGAATACGCTCTGCAACCTGTTTTACACATCATCTCCCTACCTCCTTGCATCAGACCATGTATTACATGCAGGCTGTGGTCTCCTTGCATCAGACCATTGATGACATGCAGGTTGTGGTCTCCTTGCATCAGACCATTTATTATATGTAGGCTGTGGTCGCCATGCATCAAACCATGTATTACATGCAAGCTTTTATCTCCCTGCATCAGACCATGTATTATATGCAAGCTTTTATCTCCCTGCATCAGACCATTTATTACATGTAGGCTGTGATCTCCCTGCATCAGACCATTTATTACATGCAGGCTGTGGTCTCCATGCATCAGACCATTTATTATACGTAGGCTGTGGTCTCCCTGCATCAGACCATGCATTATTTGTAGGCTGTGGTCTCCATGCATCAGACCATGTATCATATGTAGGGTGTGGTCTCCCTGCATCAGACCATGTATTATATATGAGAGTGATCTCCCTGCATCAGACCATGTATTTTATGTAGGCTGTGGTCTCCTTGCATCAGGCCATGTATTATAAGTAGGCTGTGGTCTCCTTGCATCAGCCCATTTATTATATGTAGGCTGTGGTCTCCATGCATCAGACCATGTATCACATGTAGGCTGTTGTATCCATGCATCAGACCATGTATTATATGTAGGCTGTGGTCTCCATGCATCAGACCATGTATCATATGTAGGCTGTGGTCTCCATGCATCAGACCATGTACTATATGTAGGCTGTGGTCTCCATGCATCAGACCATGTAACATATGTAGGCTGTGGTCTCCTTGCATCAGACCATGTATTATATGTAGTCAGTTGTCTCCCTTCATTAGACCATGTATCATATGTAGGCTGTGGTCTCCTTGCATCAGACCATGTATTATATGTAGGCTGTTGTCTCCCTTCATTAGACCATGTACTATATGTAGGCTGTGGTCTCCTTGCATCAGACCATGTATTATATGTAGGCAGTGGTCTCCTTGTATCAGACCATGTATTATATGTAGGCTGTGGTCTCCCTGCATCAGACCATGTTTTATATGTAGGCTGTGGTCTGCATGCATCAGACCATGTATTACATGTAGGCTGTGGTCTCCTTGCATCAAACCATGTACTATATGTAGGCTGTGGTCTCCCTGCATCAGACCATGTACTATTTGTAGGCTGTGGTCTCCTTGCATCAAACCATGTACTTTATGTAGGCTGTGGTCTCCTTGCATCAGGCCATGTATTATATGTAGGCTGTTGTCTCCCTTCATTAGACCATGTACTATATGTAGGCTGTGGTCTCCTTGCATCAGACCATGTACTATATGTAGGCTGTGGTCTCCTTGCATCAGGCCATGTATTATATGTAGGCTGTTGTCTCCCTTCATTAGACCATGTACTATATGTAGGCTGTGGTCTCCTTGCATCAGACCATGTATTATATGTAGGCAGTGGTCTCCTTGCATCAGGCCATGTATTATATGTAGGCTGTTGTCTCCCTTCATTAGACCATGTACTATATGTAGGCTGTGGTCTCCTTGCATCAGACCATGTACTATATGTAGGCAGTGGTCTCCTTGCATCAGGCCATGTATTATATGTAGGCTGTTGTCTCCCTTCATTAGACCATGTATTATATGTAGGCTGTTGTCTCCCTTCATTAGACCATGTATTATATGTAGGCTGTGGTCTCCTTGTATCAGACCATGTATTATATGTAGGCTGTGGTCTACCTGCATCAGACCATGTATTATATGTAGGCTGTGGTCTGCATGCATCAGACCATGTATTACATGTAGGCTGTGGTCTCCTTGCATCAAACCATGTACTATATGTAGGCTGTGGTCTCCCTGCATCAGACCATGTACTATATGTAGGCTGTGGTCTCCTTGCATCAAACCATGTACTTTATGTAGGCTGTGGTCTCCTTGCATCAGGCCTTGTATTATATGTAGGCTGTTGTCTCCCTTCATTAGACAGAGGCCGTGGGGTAGCCTAGTGGCTAAAGCGTTTGCTAGTCAAGCCGAATTCCCCACATGGGCACAATGTGTGAAGCCTATTTCTGGTGTCCCACTGTTATATTGCTGGAACTTTGTTAAAAGTGGTGTAAAACAATACTCACTCATTCCCTGCATCAGACACATGTATTATATGTAGGCTGTGGTCTCCCTGTACCAGATCCTTTATATCATTTGCAGGATGTTGTCTCCCTGCAGTGTCCCATATATTATATTGCACTTGTTATCACGAACCAGGTGCCTTTACAGACCCGACTGCAGGACTGGTGATGTTTGGAAGATTTATGAGCATTAAGGTGATAAACTCGGTATCACCGATTGAGGCCCACAACTCCGGACACTGCAGAGACCACACAACATTATGCAGTCTCCAGTGAAGGTAAACATATCAAGATGTTAATCTCAGCCAGAAGTTCAAAATGTTGCACAGGCAATTCATACTGCCCATTTTTTTTATTGTTTTACTTGCATGATAAAAAAAGAGAAGTTGCTTGTCTTCAGACAACATTTTTATTTATTTTATGATTACAAAGTATGTTTAGGTCAACACAAGGCTGTGAAATATCAACAATAGCTTGCTTGCTGTGCGTGCTGTGCATGGGGGAGGAGTGCTCTTTAAAGCCTGCAATGTCGACATCGAGTGAATAAATTTTTTACCAAAACCTGTGATGAGATTACATATAGAGAATCTCACCCGAGTATCTTTTGATATCAAATATATCAACATGAGTTGATAAAAGTGGAAAAACTCTGAGGCTTGCCGAGGATTTTTGCCACTTTTATCAACGAGTGTTGATATATTTGATATCAAAAGACATGAGGGTGAGATTTTATTTATCATCCAACATCATTCTTCCAACTTTTTCAATTTGTAGACAGTAATTAGCAGTGTCTGCAGTGTAAAAAGTACTGCTAACAGCTTCACCAGCAGAGCCATTAATGATGTCATTTGATTGTGATGTCATGGTAACCAGTGATGTCATAGTGGTCTGCAAAGCATTGTGATGTAATTTCATTGCAGTGATATCTCCTGCATATCTCCTGTGGGAGCCAGTTTTGGATGATAAATTGGTGTTCAGTGAAACTAGATCAAACCAATCAAAAGTGAACACAAATACCGTATTTGACGTAATAAGCGCCCCGTTCTAATAAGCGCCCATGGCGATATTTGCTGATATATTGACTAGTGAACAATCCCAATTAGCACCCCTTCTGATTGATCAATGTACACAAGACTTATTTATTCGTGTATAATACGCATTCGTGTGTTATATGCACCCTTAATTATGGGCAATTAAATTCTGGATAAATATATCTGTAATGTATAACACACACAGACTTTTATTTTGTATCATTTCAGTCTGTCAGCATAAACCACGAAATTTACAATCTTTCAACTCTATTTTTTTTTCCAAAATGTTATTCTAATAAGAGCCCCCTATTTCAAATTTTGAGAGCGCCCTGGGCGCTTATTATGTCGAATACGTGCTTCAGCACTTTACTTTTCAAAAGGACACTGGCCTTATTCTTTGCTCCAAGCACTGAGTGTAAGAAGCGAATCAACCTTCTCAGGAAACAAAACTCAGAAATCTCAGAACTTGAGCATGTTGGGAGATGGGCAAGGTCGTTTGTGTTGGACATTACTGAGCTGATATAGTGGCATGTGGGTGGGTGTGCACGGCTGCAGCTTTCAGCTACAATGACATAGGACATGCATTGTATTCACTTTACATGTTGGGAATAGAACCTGGTGTGAGAGAAGTGATCACAGAACCTGGGGCTAAGCTGGTGACCAGAGCTAGTGGCCATTGGTCACTGCGGTGTCATCACAACTAGCAACCATGGGGCTAAGCTGGTGACCAGAGCTAGTGGCCATTGGTCACTGCGGTGTCATCACAACTAGCAACCATGGGGCTAAGCTGGTGACCAGAGCTAGTGGCCATTGGTCACTGCGGTGTCATCACAACTAGCAACCATGGGGCTAAGCTGGTGACCAGAGCTAGTGGCCATTGTCACTTCGGTGTCATCACAACCAGCAACCATGGGGCTAACCTAGTGACTTCGGTGTCATCACAATCAGCCTTAGAAATTCATTTTTTTCTCATCACAAGGTCTTGCATAAACTTTTTTTCACTAATCCTCAGAATTTGTAGCTGGTCTCTTGTGAACAAAACAAAAATATTCACCACTATTACATTTTCGTTCAGTTTTATTAAGTTCCAAGTTCCAGTCAGTTTGGTCTCTACTGGAAGATTTGCAACACTTTAGATAAAATCTTTGGAAATTTAATTAAGGTAACAAACAAATGGGCACCAAAGTAGTATTAAACAAATGAGTGAGTGAGTGAGTGTAGATTTTAAGTGTCTTTCTGCAAGCAGCCAGCAATGTCATATTGTGATGCTACATTTTCAAAACTAAGGTTGTTATATAAAACATTGATTCAAAGAAAGTTTCTAAGAATCATAAAACAATAAAATGTATATTTTTATTTATGCAAAATAATGACATTACTAAAAAGTGTGACACAAACAAAAATCATGTCCATTTATTCGATCTTTCAGACCATTTTTACCTACAGCAACTATCATAACTTATGACTTTCATGTTGTTTACCATTGTTTCTGTTGATGTATTTTTTTGCAAAAACATGTCTGTAAGAGAATGTCTCTGATTTTCAGCTTAAAGGCTTTCACATAATCATGATACTAAAAGAATTGGGGCAGTCATTCTAATCCCAAGCAGAGCTGACCCTGACCCTGACCCTGACCCTTTCATTCAGGGGAGTTAACTCTGTCACAACCACTGTGGTATCTAGGTAAACCTTGTTCAGAATAAGAATGCCATCAGATAACGAGACTGGGTCATACTGCTTTATATACATGTTCAGGGGACAATCTAAAAGTGAATGAGTTGGAACATGTATAAACATGTATAAGAGTGTGAAATGGTTGTATTGTCCGTGTTCGCGAGTCAAGTCAAACCTCAAGAGTCCTGTCCTCCTCAAGGTGAAGATTATAGAGTGAAATACACCTGTATGAATAGCACTAAAACATCAGCAAACAGCCATTTGGCAATCCTACAGCCGCAACGAATTATATCACTTTTCACATCAGTATTTGGTATAAGTCAGCTTTGTTGGTTCTGTAGTGAAATACAAATGATCAATCCGATCCTAAAATCGATACAGCAAATATTGCAGTAACCAACCGTCACCAACCGCTGTGAACACCGACATGCCTGCGCACTTGTTGTCTGGGGCCATGGTACAGATAGGAGAGTTATAAACAACACATTCAGATCTCATTGTCACAGTACTAAAGCCCAAACAAGACACTTAACAACCTTTGCAACGCTGTTAACAAAAGAAATATATATGTGTATGAGTAACCTGATACAAAACTTTCCACTGACAACATTGCTACAAGTATTAACAATGTAAGCATTTTATCAGCTGGTCTGTTCTGCTTATCAGCGGCTGGGCTGTCGGTGATATTTAACTTAGTTATTTGAGGTGACAGTTGGGGCGCTCTCACGCACACCACATAAATTATGTCTCAGTCCCACTTTGTAGACATGTGTTGTCATACCTGTAAATTCACCATGGATTTGTGCATGAGTAGTGTCAGGCCTCAAGTCGTTCTGTGCTACCCTTTACAAGGTTATAAAAATTAGGAGTGAACTCTAGGTTATGGAGGGTTTTCCTATTCAACTTGGCCAGGGATAGACACAGACACCAGTTTGAGACTAGTAGCTTTTTGTCCCAAAATCTGGGGCAGTCGGGGAAGCCTAGAGGTTAAGGCGTTTGCTCGACACGCCAAAGACCCGGGTTCGATTCCCAACATGGGTACAATGTGTGAAGCCCATGAGTGGGGTCCCCGGCGTGATATTGCTGGAATATTGCTAAAAGTGATGTAAAACTACTCACTCACTCACTATCCCAAAATCTATTTTTTTTACATAACCCCTTGCCCGAAATGACCTGCGGACTAGTTGGATATGGCCAATGGAGTCTACCCCTGTTGGCTCAAACAAGTTTTGTGCATTTCATCTATAAGGTCCAAATATTTGTAAGCTCAGAATAAACAAATATAGGGTCTGAAGGAGTGAATGACAATGCTAATTCAGGTAAGCTCATTCTCTGCAAAAACCTTGAACTGGACACACAACAGAAGTTATTCTTGTGAGACATAGTTTATTTGGTTATCCTCATTCACACATTGATTAACACATGTATTCATTATGCACTTTCAGAACCCGTCATGATAAAAGTACATTACAACTCATGCTTGTTATCTGGCTATTTACACCTTTTGGCACAGCATCATTCAAATAAGGGACCGATCATTTAGTATTCTGGGGGGAACCCTGGAATGTTTTTTGAAAAAAATGATTTGTCCCAGAAAATAAATGGAAAAAATTGTGTTTATGTTTAACTTAAAGAGGAAACTTGTACACTTGACATGGTTGATGTTCTCAATGAAATATTGAGGGAATGGTATGTTTCAAAGCGGTGACCGAAAAAATAATTTCAAAGAAACCTCCCAGGCTGTCCCACCAACCACCCTGACCATCCGAATACTTAATGGTTGGGCCATATATCATAATACAACATGTATACAATTAAGCCATGGGAACAAAACCAACTCAAAACTATGTAAAGGGGATGGATCTGATCTGGAAGTATCTCTAACCACTAGGACATACATATATCTGCAGTGTGACCACCAACTCCGTGGCCGGTGGCTGGAGTCAAGTGCATCTTCCTGAGGTGTCAGATTCCTTCGTACAGAGGTCAAGGACACTAGAAACAATGTACCTGGTGTGACTTTGTGAAAACAGTATTGAGAAATACCATTGCCTTTAGCTGAACATACCATCGCCATGTGATAAAACCTCCTATATTGTTAACTCTACTCCCACTATTGCCATGTGATAACACCTCCTATATTGTTAACTCTACTCCCACTATTGCCATGTGATAACACCTCCTATATTGTTAACTCTACTCCTACTATTGCCATGTGATAACAACTGTATTGCTGACTATGTTGTTGACTTTACTCCTACTATTTCCACGGGTTAAAACGCCATCTCAAGCAATCCCAACCTGTCTCCAAGAAGCTCCATGTGGACAGAGCACTTAACGTGGCAGCTTATCAGACCCAAATCAAAAGCATCTGCAGAGAGGAACTCAATGTAACCTGGCTCCAAGAGTCAGAAGGATGTATAAACCAAGAGCTCTACATGGCTCCAAGTTATAAGGATGTTTAGCATGAGGGTGACGGCTCCACCTACTCTGGCTCCAAGTCATAAGACCTGGGAGTTCCATATGGCTCGAAGTCAGAAGGATGTTTAACCTGAGAGCTCTACCTAACCTGGCTCCACTTGGATCTGTGTAATTCTGTCTGGCTCCTCCACACAACCTGCAATGAAATTAGAAAAACTTGTTATAAAGAATTATGAACTTTAAATATTTAATGCATCACTTAATTCTCTGTTTGGTTCAGTTTTTAGCAATATTGCAACAATATAAAGACGATGAGCCCCCTAGGGGATCCTGGTTAGACAAGGCCCAAGGACCCTTTTGTTGGTCATAAGAGATGTCCAAACTGGATCAGAATATCAGGCTCTGTGACTTGCCCGATCATGTGATTTACCTGGCACAGGCATGATTATTAAGAGTTAGTGAGTGAGTGAATTGTTTAATGCCGCTTTTAGTAATATTACAGCAATATCATGGCGGATGATACAAGAAATGAGCTTCACACATTGTACCCATGTGGGGAACTGAACCCGGGTCTTCGGCGTGACAAGCGAACACTTTACCCGCTTGGCTACCCGACCGCCCTGATTATAGACATGGCAGGGGACAGACTTGAACTCCTGGCCTACCCACTGGCCCATGCATCAGACAAATTGTCTCGGCATATGTTGCCCCTTGTTTAACTCCCTGCAGAGTACAGCCCACCTGTGACCTGACATTATTCAACACTAAGACTAGGAAACTCTCCATAAGGAAGTCAGCAGCACTCTAAAACTCTTTCCCCGATTAGTCCGAACACATTTTTTCACAAAAGATTTATTTCCACAAAATAATGTCGTAGATTACAAGCCAGGGATTAGCAACATGAGCTGTGTCCACTATTCCTGAAAACAGCAGCTCAGCCTCCATGGATTGGCTGGCTGGGTTAGCCAAAACTCACTTTATGATTCTCTGTAATGCTTCCTGATGGTTTCCGTGATTTCTTTTCAAAGAAGTAAGCCGTGATATCATGTTTTGAAAAAGGAAATATAAGTAGAGTTTGACAAAGTTACCGTATAAACATGTCACAGTGAATATATATCAGCATAGACATACTGTATGATAACAGAGGCCATGTATCAGCATAGACACACTGTGTGGTAACAGAGGACATGTATCAGTATAGACACACTGTGTGGTAACAGAGGACATGTATCAGCATAGACACAGTGTGTGATAACAGAGGACATGTATCATCATAGACACAGTGTGTGATAACAGAGGACATGTATCAGCATAGACACAGTGTGTGATAACAGAGGACATGTATCAGCATAGACACTGTGTGATAACAGAGGACATGTATCAGTATAGACACACTGTGTGATAACAGAGGGCATGCATCAGCATAGACACAGTGTGTGATAACAGAGGACATGTATCAGTATAGACACACTGTATGATAACAGAGGACATGTATCAGCATAGACCCACTGTATGGTAACAGAGGACATGTATCAGTATAGACACAGTGTGTGATAACAGAGGACATGTATCAGCATAGACACACTGTATGATAACAGAGGCCATGTATCAGCATTGACACACTGTGTGATAACAGAGGCCATGTATCAGTATAGACACAGTGTGTGATAACAGAGGCCATGTATCAGCATAGACACAGCGTGTGATAACAGCGGACATGTATCAGTATAGACACAGTGTGTGATAACAGAGGACATGTATCAACATAGACACAGTGTGTGATAACAGAGGACATGTATCAGCATAGACACTGTGTGATAACAGAGGACATGTATCAGTATAGACACAGTGTGTGATAACAGAGGGCATGCATCAGCATAGACACAGTGTGTGATAACAGAGGACATGTATCAGTATAGACACACTGTGTGATAACAGAGGACATGTATCAGTATAGACACAGTGTGTGATAACAGAGGACATGTATCAGCATAGACACAGTGTGTGATAACAGAGGACATGTATCAGCATAGACACAGTGTGTGATAACAGAGGACATGTATCAGTATAGACACACTGTGTGATAACAGAGGGCATGTATCAGCATAGACACACTGTGATAACAGAGGGCATCTAGCAGCATAAATATACTGTATGATAACTATTTCCAAACCTTTCATCTGTTTTCAAATATAAATCAATGTGACAACCTAGTACAGTGTTCCCTCGTTTTTGCACCCTTCAATATAGTGCTAACTCGGTTATAGCGCACGGTAAAGCATGGCTCCCAAAATTAACTAACATTTTCAATAAACACAAGTTTTCCAATGACGTGATGTTTTCCCCCATCTCAGGAAACATTATCAGTTGATCACCACGATCACGTAACACCAGAAATACCAGTCAACAAATCCGAACTGAAGTATGCAATTTAATCCTATTATTATAATATCTGGTAATAAAAAAATGTTCATTGATTATCTGGACTAATGTTTCCATTATATTTTTTTAATTATATTCAAAATTTCATTCAATAATTATAACAATGTTTACAATAATTTCGGCAAAATCGTATGCGAAGTGATCGGCAGATCGCACAACTCACCGTTATTTACAGCAACCACGGTCAGATTACCGCTATTGATGCCTTGAAACGAACTTAACTACAATAACATGAAAAATCTGGCATTTTTTAACTTATTTTGAGCAGTATATGAAACACACTTCTCCATCTTAATTCATCTCAACTTAAACTACAGTAAACTACGGTTATAACGAACTCAAAGGGACTACTAATTTTAGTTCGTTATAACCGTAGTTCGTTATAAGTACATATACAGCATGACTACAGCAAGTAGTTGGGACCAAAAAGTAAGTTCGTTATATCCGACAGTTCGTTATAAGCGTGTTCGTTATAACCGTAGTTTACTGTAAATATTTTTTTTTACAAAAGTCAATAACTACCATATGATCATACTTTTGAAAGGCATGCATTCTGAAACATACAATCACAAGACAATACTTGGCCATGGTTATTAATCCAACAGATAGCTGACAAGGCAAGACATTTTCCAGACAATTTCCGAGAGAGGAAACATTTACCTAATCAAACAAAAGTTGAAGCTATAGGAGACTTCCCTATAGGATCATTGATGTTTGACTCCTGACTCACAATGCTATCTACTATCACCAATAGCAGTATTGCGTTATCAGTATGTATGAGGACACAGTATTGCTGCCTACAACAACCGGGGAGCCCACCTGGAAGGTGCGCGGTACGCGACCGCTGTGTGTGACATTTATACTCCAATCAATCACCCATGAATAACCAGCCATTGAAATTAGCTGGCCTGATCGGGTATAACTTGAAGGAATTATATGATAAGACAAATTGTAAGTTGAAACTACCTTAAATGCTTAATAGGAATTTAACCAGGTGACAATAAGTATTAAAGAGGTTATGGCGGTTTTCAATTCATAAAACTGAATAGTTTTATTGTTATATTCTGTTTGTGTGCTATTATCTATAATTAAGTGTATCACATGAACAACTATGAATATATGATAGACATGTTAGTGTCCAATTATTTGTAAATGATTCTCAAAATTATATAATTAAAAATTAGATTAACTGCAACCAAAAAATTATGCGTCTGGGGAGATATGTGTCTGTATTTACTATCATGGAGAACTTAGTGGCCTGCCTTGTAGTCCCAGTTCAATATACCGTAGAGTACACAAGGAGGAGATATGTGTCTGTATTCCCTACTAACATGGAGAACTTAGAGTGGCCTGCCTTGTAGTCCCAGTTCAATATACCGTATAGAACACGAGCGGGGAGATATGTGTCTGTATTCCCCACTATCATGGAGAAGTTAGAGTGGCCTGCCTTGTAGTCCCAGTTCAATATACCGTATAGAACACGAGGGGGGAGATATGTGTCTGTATTCCCCACTATCATGGAGAAGTTAGAGTGGCCTGCCTTGTAGTCCCAGTTCAATATACCGTATAGAACACGAGCGGGGAGATATGTGTCTGTATTCCCCACTATCATGGAGAAGTTAGAGTGGCCTGCCTTGTAGTCCCAGTTCAATATACCGTATAGAACACGAGGGGGGAGATATGTCTCGTATTCCCCACTATCATGGAGTAGTTAGAGAGGCCTGTCTTGTCGTTGGGCAGTAATCAGCACTCCAACCTGCAGTGTTTACAACTGATATCAGCCTTGCTGATCACTCAGAAAATTGCTCTAATTCACCCACCTCCTGTGACCCCACTCTAACCTCTGACCCCTACCCAGCATGCTCTGCTCCATATAGAGATAATCTATTGATGTGCCTGTGAGCGCACAGGTTAATGTCACTACAGCCTGAGAACAGAGCTTACTACAGGAACGGAGTCTACTATGGCATTTAGGCCAGTTCTACAATGTAATGCCCCTGTTTGCTCTGTCACCTGAACACGTCATCCCAGGACATGCAGAGACTGCCGATGGAGACAAAGGTGGCGCTGCACTGATCTGTTTGTCACAGGTACTCAGGCATACCCCCTGCTGCCAAAATAGCTCCGTGTAAACACACGCCCTCATTATAAGGCTGAGGTGGGAGACAGGTGACTACACGCTCATATACACACACTTTGGATCTGCCCACAACGGTTGATATGTGTTATTGAGAAAGGAATGCATGACACAAAAAACGTGACAGGATACCGAGTCAGAAAGATAGACAGTGCTTCCATTCTGGAAAACTGACTCATAATTTCACTTCACCATCTAAATTATCTACCACTATCCTGCACCAATGTTGAAGTGTGGAAGTTATGTCACCATAACAATCATAAAAATTTATTACCTCCTTTTTTGGATACATTAGTTTAAGTTATTACTGTATACGTGTTTGCATATCCAAACAACAATAATAGCAACTTATAGCAAAGAAAGATAATGGCTTCATGCAGAAATACTCATTAACTGTGGAGTTTGGGCAGAAAACAAACATTACTTGTTTGAGACTCAGTCCAAATTGTTTCCATGGAAACACAACAACTAAAAAAGATTTAATAATATGAAAAGGCAATAGTTGACCATGGTCATTGCACAAGTATCACTTAGATAAGCATGCAAACTTATGTAACTTTAGTTTCTGAGAAAAACTTGCAGACACTATGCACTAAGTTGAAAAGCACAGAGCACGG